CTAAAAATAAAGTTAGTTTCTTTTGACAAGTGGCTCCTGAATTGTGCCCAGCCAGACTGCGGCACCTGGCCACCTATCTAACACAGTATGTATAATTTAATTAGATTACCACCTATATAACACAGTATGTATAATTTAATTAGATTACCACCTATCTACTTCACCCAAATATAGGGTCTCTGAGAACAGGGATGTCTATGTTTTTGTTTACACCTAGAAAAGTACTGACACAGAGTATTTAAAGATAGTAGTTTTTCTCAACCTAAATTTGCCAATGTAATAATTTTTTCCCTTCAGTCTATTCAACTTTTCCCCTTTCATCTGTAATTCAAAAGATTAAATTTATATTGTTTCTGTATTTTTTACAATCTTTCTCAAATTTTATGGGGGCAGTAAACAGTAGAAGCAAAAATTAATTTTATGTTGAATTTTTGTCTTATTCATTCTAGTCATGCATATAAGAAGTTATTCTAAGGTTTAAGATCATATCCAAATGGAATTGATTTATCTAAGACTATATTTAAAATACTTTCAGATCTGGCATATCCCAGACAAGATTAAATAGTTATAGTAAATGACAGCCATTCAAAAGAATATGTGGTGAGGTAATAAGGTCCTCTTACTATTAGGCACACTAGAAGATCAACAGCACTCAGGTGAAATATGAAGTCTTGAAATTCTTCAGAGTACTCCTCTGCTCTCTGAAAAGGCAAAAAAAGGGATGGGGGATAAATGAAAGTTCATCATCTTTACAATTTTCACTTAAATAATATGAAATTTCACAAGTTGACTTGACTGATTTCTTCATTAAGCTCAATTCCTCTATGTACATTGGTGATAAATTCCCTGTACAGAAACAGGGGAATCTCCTACTCAAGTCTTGCTGTTTCTCAATGAGCAGGTAATCTCCACTCTTCCAATTAAAAAAAAAATCTCTTGGTTTAAAACCAAAACATTTGCCAAAAGCCCATTGAAAGCAAGGCAAAGACAGGTGTAGGCATTGTGAAAATTTCTGGGAGTTGAGATACCTGTCKTAAGTGTCCCTTGGAAGCCTGTTCACAGGGTTACTTCTCCCCACATGGTGACCATTTCCCATCATAATAAATAGCACTATCATGTTATTCTTTCTTCATCAGTCAATTCATTCAGAGAGTAACTCATTCCTCCTAATATGTGATAGATCTAGATTCATGGATTTCCCATTGCTGGTTTCTACTTGTATTTTAAAAGCAAAATGCTTTAAGCAAAGGGCTGAGTATATAGTCAAGAACTCCAGACATCCCTCAGTTGATGGAGAAGTATTTTTATTCTKATGCCTTTGCTTTCCTCTGTGGAACATGCTTACTCCCTGCCTCACTCCCTGACACATTAACTCTTAATTATCCTTTAGGAATGTTTGGGAACATCAAGTCTCCGGAAGAATTCTGAATTTCCAGAGCACATTGGCTGAACTTCGCATGTTCTCCCCTGGCTCTCTGCCCTTCTCCTTTGTAACCTTTAGGTTTGTTGTGTTCACTTTCTGGAAGTTGATCTTTGTCTCCTCTAAACTCTGTGAAAGGAAGGACTATGGGATCTTATTCATCAGGTGTCCTAATGCTTAGCAGAATAGTGTTTGATACCTGTTTTTGAATACCTAGATGGTAGGATGCATGAATTTATCCTCAGAGTGGATAATGAATACCCATTGACCCAGAGAGCTCTTTTAAATCTGATGTTAGATTTCAATAGCATTTAATGGGGCATATATTTTTGCAAAGTGCATAGAAGGCTTTTTTAAATAGCTTTATGAGGATCAATTTTCATGCCATAATATTTACCCATTTTAAGTGCACAACTCCAGGATRTTTTTTAAGTTTACAAAGCTGTGGAGAATCATACTTCAAGTTTAGAACATATTAGTCATCCCAAAGAAATACCTCATGGTCATTTGCTATCACTTCCAATTCAAACTAATTCACTTTCTATCCTTGTAGATCTTGAAGAAGCTCTTCCATAAGGCTACATATTCATTATTAAGGGCACAGATAGTAAGACTTCTTACATTTTCCAGGAAGAAAATAAATACTTCCAAGGTCGATGATGGAAGTAACACCATGCAGACAATTATCATAGCTAGCTTGAAGTCATTGATAAAAATGATGTAAGGCATGAAGTTCAAGACCTACAAGGGAAGTCCAATGGTATTACATCAGACACACTCCGCCCATATTCACTTGAGAAATAATTTAAGATGTAGATATTCTTATCACATATGTCATAATTTTTCCATATGCAAACATAATTACATGCTATCACTATGCCTCCTTCCAGAGAGAGAAGGGGAAAAGGAGCTTTTGTTAATGAGAACATACATGAATTTTGCTTCCCAACAGAAAATTTTTTAATTTTATTTTTGTTAACATGTATTAATTGCACATATTAAGTTCAGTATAAACTTTGTTTTTCTTTGCCTGACTTTTTTTTTTTTTTTTTGGTCCTGGGATTGAACCCAGGACCCAGAGTCTCACTCATGTTAAACATGTGCTCTACAACTGAGCCACAGCCCCAGTGGTAYTTCAGCACATGAATATGGCACGTACTGCCTAATCAGGGGAATAATCCCTTATGTTTGGAGCCTTTGAACTCCTCTCTTCTAGATATTCATAAAATACATAATATTTTTGAGAACTTTAGTCAACCTACTGAGCTGTTGAATACCACAAGTTATTCTGTTTTGGTCCCTGTTACCCAAACTTCTTTTATTTTCCCTCCATTTCTCATCCTTCCCAACCTTCAGTAATCACTAACTTTCATTCAAAGCAACTATTTTTTTAGCTTCTACATATGAGAGAGAACATAYGCCATTTGTTTTTCTGTGTCTGGCTTATTCAYTCAACACACTGTCCTCAAGGTTTATCCATTTTGCTGCAAATAAAAAGATTTCATTGCTTTTTATTTTTTGGTATCAAAWATTGAACCCAGGGCATTTTAAAACTGAACCCTCCCTCATCCCTTTTTTATTTTGAGACAAAGTCTCACCAGTTTGCTTAGGGCCTTGCTAAATTGCTCAGGCTGGCTTTGAACTTGATATCCTACTGCCTGAACCTCTCCAGCTGCTGGAATTATAGGCATACACCATCTCATCCACCTATGAAATAGTTTTGACTAGCATTCCCCTGATGGATGATGAATCTCTTTCTTTCTTTCTTTCTTTCTTTCTTTCTTTCTTTCTTTCTTTCTTTCTTTCTTTCTTGCATATTTGTTGTCTATTTGTATGCTTTTGAGAAGTATATGTTCATATCATTCGCCCATTTTTTTTATTTGATTACTTGTTGTTTTGTTGTGAAATTTTTTGAGTTCCTTATATATTCTGGATATTAATCCTGTGTCTTTTCTATATGACCCTAAAAACATAAAAAAAAAATGAAGAAACTTCTGCACCACAAAGGGAACAATCAACAAAGCAAGAAGATGTAAATAGAGTGGGGGAAAATATTTGCCAACTATAGTCTCACAAGAAAATTTCTAATAGATGAAGAGATTGAAGATTAAGGGGAGGGCTGAGGATGTGRCTCAAGCGGTAGCGCGCTCTCCTGGCATGCGTGCGGCCTGGGTTCGATCCTCAGCACCACATAAAAACAAAGATGTTGTGTCCGCCAAAAACTAAAAAATAAATATTAAAAAATTCTCTCTCTCTCTCTCTCTTAAAAAAAAATTAAGGGGATGTTTAAAATGACCAAATAGACTTCCTGACCCAGTATTCAATTCAACCCAAGATAACAGGATAAAAAGAGGAATGAGCTTTTTAAAGCTAAGGTAACAATAGTAATATGTAAATCCTGTATAAATTGAAAGTTACRTGGGCAGTTATTTTAAAAATCCATCTTACTATTTTGCCTCTCACCAAACTGTCACAAAGCTTTGCCATTGTCCTGCCTAATACATTTCACCTCAGTTCCAAGTAAGTGCTTTTTCTGAGATTGTGCATTTTCATAGCAATAGACTCATTTTCTTTTAGAATACTGGTAAATGGGAGAAGAGGATAAAAATAACTTTTTATTTTTCTGTTTTGAGGGTCAATTTATCAGCCAACAAATATGTATTAAGCATTAAATTAAACCTCTGATAGATCTAGTAATGTACTATTTGAATAAAAATTCTAATCTCTAGGTTCACTGAATATTACATAAATGCCAGGAATGAAGAAAGCCTGAATTACTTTAATCCTTACAATTACTCTATAATGTACTAACTGTTATTCTTCTATTTATAAATGAGAAATCTAGGGTTCAGAGATGTTAGAGATGGTSAGACACTAAGAGATGTTAGGGTTTAAAACCACACAGCAAATGCAAGATTGAAGTTCAAAACTCTAGGTGTAGATTTTGTAAGTTTTAATGTCTTAGACTTATGTTTAAGTTTTCATTTAGAAACAGGTGAGACAAGGATGAGTTTTTGTTCTAGTGCTGCCAGGAAGCTCCATAACATAAAGTATCTATACACTCAATAGTATACTTTATATTTCAGGTTTTCTATGAAGTTCTTTATGAACTCTGTTGATAGGGTTGTAACTAAATTATTTAGGAACATCCCTAACTCGATACCGAGTTACCTTTGTCCTCCTTTCGACGGTGCAGTTTTAAAGTACAGGTTTAAGTACCCCTTATCTGAAATTCTTGGGACCAGAAATGTTTGGGTTTGGAGCATTTTGGATTTTGAATTTTAACTTCTATTGTTAAGACAAGTTGCTTAAGACAAACGTGACTATGTGTGACATTACATCGACAGTTTAGAAATAACTATGTCTCTAGTGTGTATGTATAATAATGTATGTGTACTTACAATATAGAAGCAAAACCACCAGAGGCTACTATTTTTTCTACTATTACGAAAAATAAATGATATCACATATGTCAGGAAGATAAGAGAAGCTGAATAACCAAGTGATACAACAACCTGAAGAAATACAAAAAATATAAAAATCAAAAATGAAATATTATCTGAAGAAAAAAATCACATTACAAATATATTAAAAATATGTTGTTGAACATAAACTTTACAAGCATTTTTTTTGGTTTGGTTTATGGTAAAATAAAGATGGAATTAGCATTATTATAGAAAATATTAATTTTTAAAAAAATTATTAATTACCTTATAAAATTTGATCTATTTAATATGCTACTTACCATAGCAAATAAACCTTGACTTGAAATATAAATTTCCATCATGTTTGTTATGTAGATGATTAAATACATTAAAAGGAGAATTAAATTGAAGACGTTAATATCCACCACTGCCTGCCCACACCAGTAAGCAGAGGGGTAGAGGCCTGAAATCCATAGCTGAGAACTAGCTTTCTTCTGATGAGAGAACACAGGATATATATAGGTTCAAATAAAATCCAAATACAAAAAAAAATATTGAAAGTATTTTTAAGATATATAATCTAACCTAATATTTAAAAAATAACATGTAATATATATATATAAAGTTATTATACTATATGTATGTATAAATATGTGTGTTTACTGTTTGCATACTGTATATATGTGTACATATGTGGGTGTGTGTGTTTACTGTTTGCATACTGTGTGTTTATAGTTTACATATTGTTCAGGAAACTGAGGTCTACAGTTACATAAAGGCGACTTTTTAAAAAAATGTACTTTGTTTTATTAGGTAGACTTGATTAACATCACTTTTCTATTCGTTATTCAGATATTTTCTCAAAGCATTAAGCTCCTTCCAAAGACATGTCTTGTGATTTGAAAAAAAATTTATATATATATATATATATGCATATATATATTTCCATAGAGTTACTGGTTCAAGATGATGAAAGCAGACTTATCTAAATCTTATTTTCAGGTTTTGTTTGGTTAATGAGAATAATTAAACACAAATACAATATAAAATTGCATTTACAGAATGCAGAGGGAACACAAGTCTTAAATATGGTCTTCAATTTCAACATSAATGATTTCCTCCTGAGTTAGGAAATAATGTAGTCCAAAGATTTTTTTATAATATTGCCCTCTAARGGTTTACATCAAGTGTAAAAAATCATTGTACTTATGCCAAAAAGTTGAAGTAAAAAGTGTTTTGCATTTTTAAAAGTAAGTTTTCTGACTTGCTATAAATAATGATTAACAATGTTACCCAAAGTAGAGTTAAGTGTTTTTCTCACAGGAAAACATTTTGAACACACAATATTAAAACACAATTACTTAAATCCCTGAACTTCCCTGCTTTCTCTTACTTTGTGATCACTCACACTGCTCATGGCAATGTAAGGAGAAAGGCAGCACACAACAAAAATCATGAATGGAGAACTTTCCGGCAACCCAGTCCAGATGTACAGATGGTTCTGGAAGCAAAAACGTAATAGTAAATTTTTTCATGAAACATACACTAATAATCAAAGAATATGCTTTTTGAAATATTGAGAAGTCAAAATATAGTTCTAGTTAACAGTCATCCAAGAAGGGAAAGTGATTTCTTGTTACTTGACATGGGGCTTCAACTCCAAGAAAAACACAAGTCAGAAATGATTTAGGTCTCACTTTTGGGTATACATCCAAAAGAACACAAAGCAGGGTTTTTAAAAGGTACATGCACAGTAAGTTGATAGCACCATTACTTCCAATAGTCAAGAGATGGAACCAACCCAAATGTCTACCAGTGGATATATGGATAAATAAAACATGGTATATATACATACAGTAAAACATTATTCAGCTCTAAAAAGGAAGAATATCTGTAACATGCTGCAACATGGATGAACATGGAGGACATTATGCTAAGTGAAATAAATCAGTCAAGAAGAGACAAATATTAAGGTATTTAAAGTAGTCAGATTCATAGAAATAGAAAGTAGAGTGATGGTTCCTCCCCAGGAGCAGGAGAGGAGATAGGAATAGGAACTGTTTGATGGATAGAGAGTTTTACTTTCACCAGACATAAAAGTTCTAGAACTTTATTTCACAACAATGTGAATGTATTTAATGCTAGTGATTTGTATGCTTTAAATGATTATTATAGTCAGTTTTATATTATGTGTTTTTACCATGATGAAAAACAATAATTTGTGAATTGTGACTCTTCATTAACAGAAAACTCAGGCCTAAGCAACATGTCTTTCTCAGCAAACCACAGATGGGTATGTGAAGTCCTTAGCAACAGGGAGGATACATTCTCTAGCACAGAGCTGAAAAGGAAAGTTGGTGCCAATGAATGCATCTTTGAAGAGATAAAATTTAAATCACTACCCCCTAATCAGTGTCTGTCTGAGACTGGGCCCTGTGCCCAAGCAGCATACAGGACTATCTCATGGATAAAATTAGAGGGGAGCAATACAAGTCTGTCTCACAATAATTCTCCAATTCTTAAATTTTAAGATTTTGGAATCTGTGTCTATAAATTCCAATTTTTCTCCAGGTAGGAAAATGCATTACTGTCATCATAGGAATGAAGGAGTATGCAACTGGGGGATGGGGTGTGATTAAGAGAGTAGCCATGGAATTTAGGTCCATTTTGATACTGAGCAAACAGGCAAAGACATGAGAAAACTGAATAACCAAGAGAGGGTAACTGTCCCTTTCTGCCACCCACTGGTTCCACTTTCAGAAGAGTTCCCTTCAGACACTTCTGTGCTAAACCATCCGGTATTCCCCCTGATCACATTCAACTCATGGATGTAGACATACATCACTCACCTCTCAAGTCTATTCCATTCTCATTCTCCCCATTACCTACAGAAAATCTGCACTTGAGTGTAACAACCATGCAATGGAGCCAAAATGGARCTCAACACCTTTGTCATAAAGTGGAATTTCCTTTTTAACTGGTCCATTTTTAATGCTGCTGACTTTTCTTTCAAACTTTTGGTGTGAAACATTTGGAAACAGTTTCAAGAGATCCCTTTGGTATCAACCAGAAAACTATAAGATCTTAAATACTTATTATTTTCTAATAATCATGCATTGGTTATATGGGGGATCATCATCCAAGAAGAATGATGAAATGGGAAGCCACTGTCACTTCTGGGCTTCAGGGAAAAAGGAAGGAGGTGATATTACTGGAGCCCAATGTGGAAGGCCCTCTGCTTTTCTATCTCCAACCATTGTTTTCTCTATTGTCTGAAGACAGGCTGTAGCCAAAATCCCAGAAGCTCAACTCATCGGTATTAGACATCTTTGCAACACGGAGGAAGTATGGTTACATGAAGGAGCATCAGAAAACATTACATCCCAGGACTGGCAAATTCTCCTTCATGTTAGTCAATCTACTCACTTAGTCAAGGAAGTTTCCATTAGTAAATTATATTAAATTTACAAAATGAAAGCAGCATGACAAAAGCTCCTGATTTCTAATTCAGTATTTTCTGTCTCTGTCTCCTCTTTAATTTACTTCCTGGAATGTCTCTACAACTTCCACAGCATCCCCCAGGAGAATATGAAAAAATATAMAAAAGTATTCACCAATGATTTCTCTGATGATAACTTAGCAATAAAAAATATTTTGTTTGATAAAACATGTTTAAAATGTTAGGACACAATAGTAATTTTTAGGGTGAATAATTAAATATAAATATTTAAACCTTAAAGAAGAAAAACATAGGTTACTTATCAAATTCTTAATTTCAGGATCACTAAATTCAATATTTACCCATGAAAATGGACTTCTCTCAATCCGAATATGCTGTGAATGATTAAACATCTGAAGTAGCCCATTGCTGATAATATTCATGAGGATAGGAAAGCAGTGCAACCTCTTGGTATTACACACAACTGAAAATCTATAATCCTTAAAATAAACAAAAACAACATCAATAAAGTTAATTCTAAGTCCTTGAAGAACAAAGGCACAGWTTTTATATGTAAGAAGCTGGAGTGTCACATTCCAGCTATGTGTCCATCTTCAAGTTAACGAACTTTCATGAGCATAAGTTTCCTCATCTGTGAGAGAGGATACTAAATGGGTCATTACATGATTTAATGAGATTATATATAAAAGGCCCTAGCACAGTGGATAGTGCAGAGTGAGAATCCACTTCATACAAATTTTTATTGGTTTTGCTAAATAGCTATGATTTTGTCTCCATTGTCTKGATGAGGAGATCTCAGTGGAGTTTAAAAGTTGCCTGGACAAGGAATCACTGGCAGTTTATGAGCAAGAAAAGGAATTTTATCATAGCAGGTGATAAAAATGGAGTTTATTAATTATTTATGTTTACACTGTCAGCAAAGCATTTCCACCCTCTCTAAGACTAGGTTAATGTACTTCATGTTGATGAAAATGTTCATGCATTCATCAAGAGGTTCAATGTTGTTTAAACATTAACAATAGTTCCTGTAGTAAATATTTAGGACAAAGGAGCGGCCAAAGCAGTTTCCCAAAGTTGGAAGAGAGTGACTATATTTTTCATAATTCATAATTCATAATTTAGCTTAGGGAGTCTAGAGTTCAATGATACAGTTTCAAAAGTTTTTGTTTTTTATTTACCTTGTGGCAATAAATAAAGAGAAAACTGCACTGTTAGTAAAGTGAGACTAAGAAGTTTTACTTATGATTAGGTTGGATTTTCATCTGGTTTCTTGATTTCTATGGCTCATTCACTTTTACCTAAATTGAAATACACTAACATAGCATATGAGGAATACTTTTCTCTCCAAGAATCTGTGTGGATATTATAATATTTTTAGTACAGTACAGTATATTATTAGTATAGTATGTTTTACCAACATATCATACAGATAGTTAGCTATTAAATGGATTCCCTAAATTCATAATTATAGATAATTTTAAGATGTAATATTTCATTGAGTTTGAAYAATATGACGAATTTAGTTTCTTTCAAATGTAAAAATTACTTCAAGAGGAGAAAAATGTTTCAAAAACACCCATTTAAACATCACAGTTTATTCAATATGGACTAAAAATGTTTTTCTGAGTCAAGCTACTATATACTAGCTGGGTTGATTTTCTGCAGTTTTTAAGAGTTAAAATATAGCACTTTCTGTGCATTTGTGTGCAGTCATAAAAGCAAAACTCAAGAGACAAACGTACCTTTTGTTTACCAGAAACTATGATAGCGCCATTGTATGAGAGGCCTTCAGTGCCATTTCTGTTTTCAAAGTCATCTACTTCCAAAAGTATATTTTGATGCTTTAAAGACTGTATAAAATCTTCAATATTTGATTCTAGTACGAAATCAATAACAAAAGGCCATATAAAGGTGAGTAAATAGATTACAAATGTTTTCCTAGTGAACCCCATACATAAAGTTGATATTTTATAGCACGCTGTCTCTATAGATATCACAATAATACTGTGCCATGAAAAAGAAATCATTCACTCTACCATCTTCTATTTAACAAATATTATGCTATGATGAATTAGCTTTTTAATTCCCTTTAATGCAAATTGATGTGTGATCATTAAAATAAAGTAGTTCTATTTCAAGACTTTTATTTTAAAAAATACATTTGAACTGGTGATTTGTGGAGATACAGTTATTATAGGAGTAYGTTAGATTGTCCAGCCTGATGATAATACTCTCCTCTCACCTGTATTCTTTGAAGTAATAGAAAGTAAACATATAAATGTACATGTATAATACAGAAATATTCTTATTTTATTTAATATATTTGCATATATATTGCACTCCTGTATATGGYATGGATATGTACTTTTTTCTAATTAAATGGAAAATAAGAAGAGGGCCACTATTWGACCAAAAATTTTAATGTGCTCCTAAAGAATGCAGCAAATGGTATTCTTTGAAAGAGAAAAAAAGAGCTGAGGAAACGCACAGCCTGGAGCACAAAGAAGYCAATAGCTGCCAAGGTAAAATCAGCTTCCAGGATATCAAAGCTCAGAGGAAATGAGTAGAAGGGGACAGTGTGGGCATGGAAGCCACAGTCAGGGTCCTTAACCAGTTTGCCACACCTGGAGCAAGGTGACCA